CAGTGTGCATGTTCCTCAGGGTCTCAGCAGTTACAGGTGAGGTAAAGAAAATAAAAGAGAAAAAGGTCAGTAACAACACTTTAAAGTAACAACACTGAATAATTATCTCTTTTAATAATTTTCTCTCAGTAATCACTCAACTACTGTCTTTCCAACAAACAGATTGACTCACCCTCACTGTCATCACAATGACACATGTCCAGAAGAATGTCATGCAAAGCTCCCTGCCTGCCTGCCTTCCTTCGACTCTCCCTGAACTGCTTCCTTAGCACCCGGTGGAGGGCGCAGTAGGCTACTCTTCAAATGTTTCACGAAATACTTACCATGATGACTACTCTTACTGTTTAACATTTTGGTGTACTTCATGTAATAAAATAATAACTTCATGGTAAGGCTACTAAAAATGACAAGGCTAAGTAATGTAATGCTAACTAACGTGCTCGCCAGTCGTCGCTACTAGCTAGGTAGCTAACTTGACTATGTTCCATGCACAACATGTATATTACCTATGATATTACCTGATATGTCTGATCCAGCGACTCCTGGTCCTTTCATCAGACGGGAAGCGATAGAACGAGCAAGTGGTATGACAAAGCACACAGGCATCTTGTAAAAGTGAATTTATTGGAGCAATCTCTTATATTTATTGGAGGGAATAAATCAGTTATGAAATCTTCTTCTTCGCTTTAATTACGAGTCTCAACCACTTGGAGCATTATCGCCTGTAACATCACATACGCGACCCAGAATGGGATTTGGGATTTGTAGTCTTTGTAGTCGCGTATTTTTCATAGTCTTATATTTCAACAGTTTTACGACAAAATGTGACTTTTTTGACATGGAAATGATTGTTTAAGATTGACAAACATCATATGTGTAGTTCGTGGCACAATTCAAACGGGATCAAAAGATACGTTTTCTCTCTCCATTAAATTCAATGTATAATTTTTCGCTTCCGGGGTCCCATGGACCGGAAGTAGATGGGCGTGACTTCGCCTCTCTATAGAAATACATTGCTTTTAAAATCGTGCTGTGCAACACGAAAAAAAGGGGGAAATCGTGTTGGTGAACACGAATCAATAGATAAAAAATCATGTTTGTGAACACGAAATGCCATGAGACTGGGTTGGTATGCCACACTAGCAATAAAACAGAATTGGTTAATGTGCTTTTATTTTTGGAGCTTGCAACATATTGAACATAGTGAACATGCATATCCCTTGTACTCCTGGGTAATCCAAGCTAACTGCCTCAATAATGGAAAAAGGTACTTAGTACACACACGTTTTCAGTGGAGGAGGATTCATGTTATCAAGGGAACAGCTCTCTGGAGCTATCCTAATGTCAAAATCATAAATGTGTTGTGTTATGATTGAGCTTTTGTACATCTTGTAAATCAGTGAACAAAAACACCTTGTGTTGGGACAGCTGCACTCCAATAGCGGATCTTTTTCTCCAAAAACAAAAAAAGGATTCAACAATGCTGAGAATCCAAATACCTATACAAATTTAATAATCCAGGTAAACAAAGGTTTGACTGTGATGCTCACAGGAGCGCAGGGCCTGCTGAGAAACGCTAAACCATTTAATTAAGACATTTGATTAAGGCTGATGATCAACACGTCCATATGGGGGCTTAATGGATTCACTTATAATCAAGCAAGCTAACCACTCAAAACAAAGAGCCTCTCAGTTGGAAAGACTTTACCGTGCTTATGTAATGTGAGTGCTGTTGATACAAAAACCTTCTCTGTGACTAATGATATCTGAGCCTTGGGCTTAATCCAGTATGACTAGTCCTGCATGTAGAGCCTAGACTAGAGCATGATAAAGTGAATCTAAACACGCACACACACACACACACACACACACACACACACACACACACACACACACACACACACACAAACACAAACACACAAACAAGTACAGTACATACAATACGTTTAATACTCCTTCTCTGTCGTGTTTTTCTGCCTGTTCACCTCCTCTCCTCTCCTGCAGGTGTTTCTGCGTGGACTGTCTGGACATCCTGGTGGATCCCGGAGCGTCGAACAGCGCTCGCCTCCTGGACCCGTGGCGCTGCTACATGTGCCAGCCGCTGCTGCAGTACGGCGTCCTGAAGCGACGGCATGACTGGAGCCTTAAGCTGCAGGAGCTCTTCGCTAACGACAGCGGACAGGAGTTTGTGAGTTATCTTCTATAATAATCAAATGCACAATCTCCCTAACCGTATGACACTTTTTACATCACAGACCAACTGTTATTACATTTCACCTCAATATAATGCTTTTTGAAATGTAATGATCAGAAAATGTATTTGGTCATTGTTGACAGATATTTTACCCCTGCGATAACTACCGCAATACTGACGTAAAGTAAAATAAACTTATACAGTGTTTCCCACAGAATTTGATTCTAGTTGTGGGGGCATACACAGTCATACACCTTATAACAAAGGGTTGTTGTTGTTGAGTCATTTTCTTGTCGTTGTATTTGTTTGACAGTTCCCACAGATACAAAAGCCGCGTTCACACCGCAGTACTTTTCCCACTTTAGTTCCGATATAGTTCCGAAATGTCGCGTTCACACCAAAAAGAGCCGGAACAAAAATGTGTTCATCAGAACCTTTTTTACCCCCTTTTTAGTCCCTGCTAGAGAGCAGGTACTTTCGTGGGAGAAAAAGGTCCCTATGTCTGATTGGCTGGGCGGATTGCAAACCACGCCCCGTAAAACTCCCAAAAAGTTTTGTGAGGCCGCCATTTTATTATCCTCGCATTAGCATTAGCATTAGCCCAGCGCAGAAACGTAGAGAGACTAACTTATGGCAACACAAAAGAAAACATGGGAGCGGTGGAGATGAGGAGGTGTCGGCGTTCTGCCGATTTACTCTGAAGGCTTCAGTCGAAGCTGCTGGGAGTCCCAGCAGCTTCTACTGAAGCCAGTCCCCAACAACCGGGGACTTCCGGCCGGGGACTTCGGGTGGCAGTATACGCCATGAAGTGGTTTGCGGCCTGCCAGTAAACCCAAAGCAGAAGAAGAAGAAGTGACGTCAGCGGCTTCATTTGCCTAATCCACCCCCACGGACTTATTCCGGTGTGAACGCGATCTGCTCTT